CCATTTGAGTTCTTAAGATTTTGCAAAGGGAAGTTGGTTAATTTATTTATTAGGATAATTAATATTTGTATTAAGGGATATTGCTTATTTCATTGTAATTTTGTTATACGTAATAACTTTTTTTTTTATGAAGTTGTTCTGCAGAGTAAAATTCTATGCAGTTTTTAAATTTAACGTTTGGTGTTCCCTTCAGCCATTTTTCCGGTACATTTAAAAGCCAGACGAAGGTTAGCAGCGAAGCTGCTAGTAATTCTAATATAATCTGCCTGTATTCTAATCACCAAAATATTGCCCAGCATCATATAATGACCATCATAAGCTTAGAAGCTGATTATCATATATAAGGATATACGCTACTTCTCAGTTGCACATGACAGAAAGAATGGCATGTTTTCTCAAAAGCATAAAAAAACTTGGTGCTGTAAAATCTAAATAAATAACACTGCTGGCCATTAAAATTGCAACACCATTACGGAAAGCAAACACAAAAAGATATTTATTGCATGACAAAATGATTAAATTTGTAAGCAGTTTGGGGGTTTACTGGAAGGCGAAATTAGTAGAAACAGCTGCCACCCATGGCAGTGAAAACAGCCCTTACCCAGTTAGTCATGGTGTCAAACTGGGCTTAGATGACAGAAATGGGTAACTCATTCCATGCTACTGTAAGTCTATGCCACACTTCAACAAACGTATTAGCTGGAGAGGGGTGGCGGAACAGTCTCTCAGCAACCCATGACCAGATGTTTTCAATGGGTGACAGATCTGGAGACCGTGCAGGCCAGGGCAGCAACTGAATACCCTATGCATCAAGGAAGGTAAGAATATGACATGCAACATGTGGTCTTGCATTATTTTGTTAGAAGATGGTGTTTGGCAGGCTTCGATGATGGGGCGCAAGCACTGGATGTAAGCTGTCAGAAATGTACTAATCTGCGTTCAAATTACTGTCAATCCGAATCAGAGATGTGCATGTCATATACCCTGTGGCTGCCCAAACCATCACACCAGGTGCAGGGGCCCCTATGCTAATATCAAATGCAAGCAGGCAACGTTTGGTCTTCTCAAGAGTCTCCAGATACGTATATGACCATCAGAATGCTGCATGCAGAACCCGGGACTCATCTGAAAAGATTACATTGTGCTACTCCTCTATCCAGCTTTGTCGTTCGGCATACCAGAGTCCCCATCTTTCACTTTGCTGCATTGGCAAGGGAAGACGAAGTAATGGTGAAATACTAATCATTTGCATATCCCAACCTCTTCTTCCCTTCACATGATTCTGATGTTCATCATATTATTCATTCCTGGTGCTGCAATTTTAATGGCCAGAAGCGTATTTCATGTTGTTTTAATTGCTCCTCCAAATACATAACCATCAGTTTAATAAAAGATAATTTTCTACTTTTAAAATTAATGTATTTTTTCCCAATTTCAACAATCTAACTGGCATGGTGTCATACAATATACATACAGTGTCTTTAAAACACTGGATTCTGGAAATCCATCTGCTGCAGAGCTTCATAAGTGCAAATCTACATCAAACTGCTGTAAAGGGGTAGTGTGCAATTTCCACTGTTCTACCATGATCACAGTCTCACATATTGACACTCAATAGGCCTTCATTAACCACTTATTCTGAAATCTTGCAAAATTTCAAAAGAATTTATTGTCACTTCCTCTCTGCAAATGCTTACCTATATTTAATATACAACAACTAAACCTTAAAGATATTACTGGACAAAAAATATGCACCCTTAATTTCTTGCCTAGTGCTGCAAAGTTACTTAGATTAGATTAATCACTAGACTGGAATATTTAGAGACACTTAAATAGTACACGTATAAAAATAACTGCTAATTATCTTCTACATCAGCAAGATGATATAAATTGGAACCACCTCTCAGAGGACTGACCAAAAATTTAATTCTTTGAATCCTCCTCAGAAGCTGATTTTGATTTTAATAATTTTTTTTTTTCTTCCTTGACTTCCAATAAACCTATTCGTTAGTGCAGAGATCTAGTAATTTAGTTCTATAAGCACAGGATTAGCAAAGGGTTTAATATGGTGGTGAAATGTTAAAAATACCACATTGAATATATCTAACAATGTGAAAATTCACTCTTTCACATTTTTTTTTTTTTTTCCCTCATAATTTCAAGTGTCACTGTCATTGCAATTGCCATTTAGTGAAAACTCAATACACATCTGTTATATTATCTGCTTCCAACATTAAAAAAAAACACATTAGCAATGTTTACAAACATTAAAAAATATATACATTATAATTATTTGAAAATATGTGATAGCTAAATAAAATTTTAATAAATAACAGTATTCAGACAGGTTTGCTTCCTAAGCAATAATATTTTTTAAAAGCATCAATATCTTATGATTGAAAGTGACAAAAGTGTTTATTGTTAAGTAGATAGGATTAAAATTTTATGAGTGATACTTTCTTTTAAGTCACACCATGCATTTCTGGCACCATTTTTTCCTTATTTCTTTCCCTACTCCTTTGGTTAGATAACAGACAAAACTGAACAATTGAGAACAAGGAACATTCTCTAATTTTTTGACAAAATCTTCCAAAAATCTGCTGTGGAAGGGATGCATTTACATTATGTTTGTTCCTTTGCGGGGGTAAGTCTTCTTCCCACAATTTTGTTGTGTTTGTCAACTTTACCTTTAAAACAAGATAACACATACATCTCTTATGAAATTAATAAAATCAATCATTGTGTTGTGGTTCATTTGAAGCAGTTTGGTTTGCAAAGTTCAATAGATGTTAATTCCTGACACAATAAGGAAACAAATTGTACAGCACTAATAAGAGGAAAGCATATCCAACAAATCATGTTTGTCTTCAGACACCTTTTCATTTTGGCATGAATGAAAACCACACCGCCATTTCTGATTTGAGTCGCATTTTAATTTCAAGAGATGGCTATTCAAACATGATCTTTACGTCATGAAAATATCTCTTTCTTAATGAAACAGGATAGCCTCTTTCTTCTTCATCTGTTGATAAATACAAAATGTAAAACCCATAGCATTTTTTTAAAAGAAAGTTTAGATGAATTACACAGTTGTGCAACCTAACTACCAAGAAAGAAGCATAACCTGGTCCTGCGAAAATGCACCAAAACATTAAATGGTTTGGCTTTAAATATAATTAATGGTGTTTAAGATAATCCAAATTATTCTTAAAAAAATTATTTGATAATAGCATTAAACATATGAGAACTAATTAACCATTCAACATCAAATAATCTAACACATCCTAATTATTGAAAGTTTAAAGTGCATGATAACTTTAATTCTACAAACAAATCATTCAGGTTATACATGTTAGGCATTTATGCATTACATGACACAGAATGTAAAATTAATATAGTATTGTTCCTAAATCAAAACTTTATTTTCATGCATATTTTTTGCAATAGAGTACATTCTGTATTCATATTTTGTGATAAATTCTTGAAGAAAAAAATGGTACTTGCGTACCATCACAACCAGCTTGGCGCACTTTGACATATTTTACACATTACAAATAACAATTACTTTTATTGTAAAAAATTATATGTTATATATATATATATATATATATATTCTATGTTTCAATTATACATTTATTCCAAAAGACAATCAGTAAACCAAATTACAAACAGGTTTATCACTTTGAGAAAGGATTCGAAACATTGTTTCTTTAGCGATTTTGTGGCAAAATAATGCATTCCTGCAGAAATTTCCTCTCTTTCTCCTAGTATCAGAAAATCCTACAAGCACAAATTTCAAAATCGAGTTTAAGACAAAAATTAATCGCAATTTTTCAACAAAAGATGCTATAACTTCGCATACAATAAAAAGAATGCATGTGAAAATGGTGACATTAGAAACTAAATATTTGTCATATTGCCTAACTAACTGTTATGTGTATGGTTGCCAGAGTTTGGTACATTCTGAATGGGCAATTTCAACTAAGGTGGTTGTGATAATACCTAAGTATCAAAAAAACAATATGCAAGTGGTTTTTTTTTTTTTTTTTTTTTTTTCCCCTTTGCATAAGAAATGCAACACAAGATATGTTAGACGGGATTACTTTAAAAGAGAAATGAAGAAAAGAACAACAAACAGATATAACTATGACTTCTTCAGAAATCACAGCTGCATGAGTTGAAAACAACTAAAATTGGCTGTGAGTCAATTTCAATCTTAGAAACACTTGATGTTTGGTTAACAAACAGTTTAAACATGGAATTCAAATGTTTAACACAGAGCCCATGGCTAAAAGCAACCAGAACTTGATGTCTAAAAGTAAACAAGTAAGCTACAATTTAAATATAATGTGTGAATGGATTATGGAGATACAGAAATTAATTTCATAAAGAAGAACTAAGAAGAGTTTTAATAGAACTGGCATTTACAATGTCATGATTGTTTTGACACTGATAATGTCTACAAATTCAAACTGTCAGGCAGGAAAGTTAAAATAATATTTAGATTTAATATTGGTAATTATCCTATTTAATGGTTTCCATTCAATCCTCATAAGTGCCAACAGTAATAATTTACTCAATTTCTGTCTAATTTTTAACATGCTTACATTTGAAATGAACAGTTTATTAAATGCTATTTACTGAAAAGTTTCAAATTGTTCGGAACATGCTAAACATACATTACATTTTAATGAATTATTTTAAATTTATCTAAACCTTTTATTTTTAACTTTTAAAATCACGAATCTGTCTCAATATACTGTCACTTTTTAATCAAGAGAAGAACAAATATTAATACAGTCTTTATCATTAAAAAATAAGAAATGCATATTTTTCCCTCTTTAATTTTTTAATCATTAAGAAACAGCCAAAAAAGTGTAGTGTGCACATGAAAATACAGTTTATGAAATAAACAAGTTTTGTTTTATATCAGTCAATACAACAAAAACACCATAAATGTATAGGTTATAAGACAGATAACTGCTTTAATGCAATCTTACCCTTCACCAGAAAGTGCACAGCAAGCTTGGATATGCCATCTGTGTTTCTTTAAAGAAGTTAAATTCAACTGCTCCGATATTTCAGCAGGAGTCATGCAGCCTTTTATGTCTTGCTTATTAGCAAATATTAACACAGCAGATTTGGTTAAATCCTATGTTAAAATAATGAAAAATTAAAAGATGCTACAAATAAAGACACATAAAAGGTATTAATCAGATTACATAATAAAACCCTATATAGTGAAAATAAGTTTTCTGATGTAAGTAATTCAGTTATAATAAGCATTAAGCATTATTTCTTCTTAAAAATCTGTATAAGCATCCTTTTTATATGAAGCAACTACTTAAATTATGTATTACAGGATAACTCCTTAATTACATCATTTCATAAGTACCTGATGTATTTACATAGCAAAAAAGTAATAATCAAAATATATCTTTGCATTCTATTGAAAACTTTAAATCTTATAGCTGTCATTCAAATTATAGTTTTTAGTTGATTACAAACTATTAACCTCTAACATTTATAAATTATTATTTCAGATTTTATCTGCAAACTAGTAGAATACAGCTCTGTCCCCGGAAGGGAGGGAAAAAAATAAAAGAAAGAATGTATAGATCACATTCATGAAATGGTCGACAGCATCGCTATAATATATACAAGAAGTAATTAATAGGGCCCAAATATTATGTAATTCACCTGGAAAGCAAAATGTGGTAAAATGGTTGCATCATCTTTTGGAAATATGAAGGGAAAAAAACCCAGAGTAAGTTTCATTGTTTTAATTTTAAAATACAGTTAAATGTTGTTAGCCGTAATAATATTGAGAATAGCAAATATCATTCAGGAATGATTTCTTGAGAAAAAGAAGGAATAACAGCAATAAATATTAATGAATGTATGGGCTACAATTCCTAGTGATACACCATTTCACTCTGACACCATCTGCCAAGTGAGCTGCCGTTCTAAGACAGGATACAGCATTGTTCTAAGATGATATTAGAAAAAGCCACAATGTGATCACTTAAGTCAAGAAATGCATGATGCAAAATTGATGAGAGGTGATTTTTTCAAATTCTACAGAAATGGCCATTAGTACTAAATCAGTAAAAAACTGTTGCACAAAATGTTGAAGGTTTACATCACATGGGTACCCAGAATATATACATATGAAATGAAGAACTATTATGCAGAACGTCCTCAAAAACTGCTCGCAAGGATATATTCTGAAAAAATATTTAACCACAGCTAGTAGCTGGAGATGAAACATGGTTTCAGCACTGTAACTCAGAAACAAAATATGAAAGCACAGTTTAAAAAAAAAAAAAAAAAAAAAAAAAAATCTCCCTAACCCCAAAAGTTTTGAACCCAGAAATAAATTGGTCATTAAAATTAAAGGAGAATGAGAAAAAATATTCTCAATAAGTTTATGTTGCAACTAGTGCCCGATTCTGTAATTATTTATGTAAATTTAAATACAGTTGAACACAAAATTGCATTTCCGCACATACGTTAGTGCCAGAAATGTGCAAATTTGTTCACTGACAATGTGGAATGCAACGAAAGCATGTCGGAATTCCAGTCTGCAGTGTTGTTTAAAATGAATGTGTTTTCTGACAGTGATCAGTATATAGCAGTTATGGCTCTAAAGTATCCTTTTTAAGTAAAGGTCAAATGTAGCTAATTATTGGTACAACCAAGGCCAACTCATACTCAAGGCCTGCCAGACTGAACAAAATTCCGCTTCCCATTTTTCAGTGGCTTTCGCGAAATTGATCACTAGGTGGCGCTCGCATTCTGCTACAATTTTGCTATACGCTCACTATTTGTAACGTGGCTCGTTATTAATAAAAAGTGTATTTTATGTCTAGCTGCTGTATATTTAAGGGCTATACTTAACAAGCTTGGTTTTTTGCATAACTTTATATGCATATAGGTTTAAAATTGTGTATATACCTCATTGAACTCAGTTCTGAAATTCCTCATTCTGCTTATTTAATTCTGAAATCTTTGTGCATCTAATGCTGTTATTTTCAAAACTTTGTTTGTAACTTTCTTCTGATTAATCTGGAATGGGAATGGTACACATGGATTTATGTCAGGTAGTTACATGTAGGTAATGTATCAAGATGACACTCGTGTATATGTGTGCTTAATAGTGATAATATTGTTTTGTGAAATTCAGTAATTTTATTTCATGTATACATTATTCTTGATAATGAACTATATCAGTATCTCATGCTGCCAGCTATAAAATTTTGCACACGTGTTATTCCGATTAATGTTGTATGTGTGTAAAAATGTCTGGCTGCCGTATATTTAAGGGCTATACTTAATAAGCTTGTTTTTTTGGCCTAACTTTATATGCATATAGGTTTAAAATTTTGTATATACCTGTCATTTTATTTCATGTATACATTATTCTTGATAATGAACTATATCAGTATCTCACGCTGCCAGCCATAAAATTTTGCACACGTCATTCTGATTAATGTTGCATGTGTGTAAAAATGTCTAGCTGCCGTATATTTAAGGGCTATACTTAATAAGCTTGTTTTTTTTGCCTAACTTTATATGCATATAGGTTTAAAATTTTGTATATACCTGTCATTTTATTTCATGTATACATTATTCTTGATAATGAACTATATCAGTATCTCACGCTGCCAGCCATAAAATTTTGCACACGTCATTCTGATTAATGTTGTATGTGTGTAAAAATGTCTAGCTGCCATATATTTAAGGGCTATACTTAATAAGCTTGTTTTTTTTGACTAACTTTATATGCATATAGGTTTAAAATTTTGTATATACCTGTCATTTTATTTCATGTATACATTATTCTTGATAATTTCATTATTTATTGAAAATTTCATTATTTTCATTTGAAAAATTGAAGTTTCTCTAGCACTGAAAATGTAAATTGCTGCAATGCACTTAATTCAATTACTAGTTTCTTAACGTTAACATCAATGCGATTTAGAATACAAATGAAAGTGAAGAGAAACACACCTATGTAATATTAAAATTAGTCAAAAAAGCAACTTTGGGTTTGAGTTTCATTCAAAATCTATGCCACAGTAAGACTTTTTTTTTTCCTAATAATTTTAGAATGTCTTTGAATATCTGCAATGCAAATACTGCACAGAGATCAGAATCTGCATTATTTAAACTTTTATTCTTTAAGATTTCCTAAAAACAGTTATTTAATAATTTAAAAATATTCTTCAGTATGTAAAATTTAATCTCTTTAAGTAATATTTTTACTTTAATCTCTTTAAGTAATATTTTTACTCCAATGCCGTGAAAACAGATATACAAATTTTAGATCACGATGTATTAATATGTTAATTACATCTTTGATAGGGGATACTAAACTATTTTTTGGCCCAGTACAGCCGATAGAAATATTTTGAAAATTTTTGAAGCTATGATCTGAAGCAATCTGTTAACTTCTTACTATATAAATAATTAAAAAATAAGGTGTATGCTCTGAATTATCTTTAAATTAGAATAAATATTTATAATGCGTACAATTCAGAATAGCGCATGTCTAGATGAAAGTAGGAATTAAAAAATCGAGATCAAATAGCTGGTGTTTATGTGTGAAAAAAAAAAAAAAAAAAAAAAGGTGAGATAGCTTAAAATTCCATGCTTTCCTTCTAATTAAAGTATTTTTATTAATAAGAAATCAACAATTTCTGACTACTATGGGTTAATCGTTTTTAAACTTTGCATATAACAAGACAGAATTCGTTTTTGTTACTTTTCCGATTTTTGTAAACATCGCAAAGTGTAGCAGAATTGTAGCGCCATCTTGTGGTCAGTAGGAATATCATGCAGGCAACCGAAAACATAACAGAATATTTTCACACTGGCAGGCCTTGAGTATAAATTGGCCTTGGTACAACTGAAGGAAGTCAAACGCAAATGAAGGATGCCGAAGATTTGAATATCCCTCCAAGTGTCATATCAAGAGTTTGGAGCCGCATTTTAAGCACTGGATCAGTTTACAGATAGGCTGGTCAAGGGCAACCAAGAGTAACAACTACATCAGAAAACCATTTTCTGTCATTGTCGGCTCAAAGAAACCATGAAGCAACTACAAGAGATTTGGTAAAGATGTTTATTATATTAACCTATTAACTCAACTAAAACTAATCATAAAAATAGAATGCTATGGCAAACTCCACAAGAAAATGTTCTAGAAAAGCATTTTGCATAATAAAGCTCCAGCACACAATACTCAGACTTCCTAAGATTCTATTCAACAATACAGATTTCAATACTTATCTTTCAATTACCATATTTACCAGATATAGACCAAAATAAATTCTCTCTGTTTAAAAAACTGAAGAAGCATTTGCATGGTTCATATTACAGACATGATGATATGTGATAAACGTCATTTCAGAATGTTCAATGGTTAAATAAAACTTCTTTTTTTTGGGGGGGGAGAAGGCCCTGGAATCTAAAATGTCACTGTACTAAATATACTAAGGTCGAAAGGAACTATGCAGAAAACTGAATACAATTCAAAGATTTGTTAATTCCCTTTCAACAAAAAAATTATTAGTTAACACACTGCCACTGATTAGTAATTCCTCATTATTTCATATCATGAAGAGTCATTTAATTTCTCAACTTCACTCACTATTTGAACTCACTAGCAGCCAAGTGGTAAGACCACTGAATGCCAAGTGGCCAAACAGTAGTTCGACACAGATTTAAAATTATATCCCAGCAAATGAGCTGGCTGCATTTGAGTTTTCATGACATTTTCCAACTTCAGACAGACAGTCCTTGAGTGCTTTGCCATAATCTAAGTAATCTGCAAATAATTCAAAAACCATGTTCATTTCAAATTGCATATAACACTCCTTATGTGCTTTCAGACAGACAGCCCTTGACTTCTTTGCCATAATCTAAGTAATATGCAAATAATTCAAAAACCATGCTCATTTCAGATTGCATATAACGCTGCTTATGTGCTTACTATGTGCACATTTTTTTATTCTCTAGTGCAATTTAAATCATGCAAAGGTTACTCTACTTGTCCACCATCAAATATAGAGTACATGCTGTCAAAAACTGGTCAGTAGACTTTAATATAAATTATTTAGAATTAGCACAGTAATTTAACTGTGAAAT